ATGGTCTGGCTGGGGAGATAGACCATAAAAAGAATTGATCTTCTGTTTATAGGAAACAGTATGAGCATTTGAGTCTCCCAGGGATTCCAACCAGTCAGTCAGTGTCTTTAGCCTCTCTTAGTCTCGGTGTTCTCTTTGGTAAGGTGGGTGGAATGAAGTGGGTGGTGCTGGTGCTGTTCCGTCAGTATTCAAGTGTGGGGGAAGTTGATGAGAAGCTGGGCACAGCATCAGAGCCACCCTGAGTCCATAGATGTTTTTGTTTAGTTAGAAAAAGGCACATGTGTAGAAACTCTGCTTTCATCTCTTAGGAAGCCGTTGTGACGTATTTGCAATCAACAAAGTCGACAAAGTTTTCAGTTTGTCCTGCTGCAGTGGCAGATTCCTGCCCTGGTAAAGTGAGGAGCAGAGAGAGGAGAAGGGGTGGCCAGTTTTGGTTATTAACCCGTTATTTAGGCTTCTCACACATTCATGTGTACCTGAATCACCTGAGATCTTGTTAAAATGCCAGTTCTGATTCATTGGGGCTGGCATTCTGCATATCTAAAAAGATCTCAGCTGAGGCTGATGACTGTTGGTTCAAGGACCACCCTTGCAGTAGAGGTGGGTTAGCGTAAACATTCCTTGGTCTTAGATGCTGGTCTCAGGGAGAGGCTTAAAACTAACCCTGGAAGAACTAGATCCTTTGCCCTGAAGGGATTTTAGTCAAATGAAGAGAGATCAGGTAATGCATGGAAATGAATAGAAGATAATTCAGTGATAGGAGTGTGCTGCTGACTCCTAAGGAGAGCCATGAGGACTAGACTTGACAGAGAGCTCCTCTATAGAAGCAGTGAGGACTTGAAAGTTCTACTGAGGTCCCAGAAGGGAGGAAAGACATACAGTATACAGTAGGCAGGGTGGGGGGCTGGGGAGACTGTGTGTGTGTGTGTCTTGTGTAAAGGTGTGCGGTAGGAAAATAATAATGGCAGTAACACAAATAATGATAATAAAGCTAACATGTTTATGATCCATCTGCCATAGGACCTGTTTTATAACGAAACCTCAGCGGTGTCCAGCTCTTTCCTCTTTTAGGTGCCGGGACAGCACCTTGCAGGAAAGGTTCACTGAAGACGAGTGACAAGGTGTGAGTGGCAGGATTCAGGCAGTCTTCTAGTTAGAATCAGTGGTCCAAATCCTCCAACTGTTGTGTGCGCCTAGGATCAGTTTGGGATCCTAAGCAATTCTGAATGGTTTGAGCCACTTTGTTCTCCATATGTCTGTGTGTGTGTCTGTGTGTGTGTGTATGTGTGTATTTTTTCCTTAGATTTTTATTCCTTCTTCATGTACAGTGTTTCTAGACAATCCACACATCTCGAATACCCATTAAAAATTACTTCTAACATCCATGATGCTAATTAAAAGACAGCCTCTGGTGCTGATGAGAGAGAACTGGAGCACACGCTTGGAATGTGGGCTTCTGACTGGAGTCTCTCAAATGGTAACCAGCCACCTCTGGAGGGTGTATTCCCAATTAAGACATGACAGATGTTAGCTCACTGCACTGAGCTTGTAAATTTAATACACACACACACACACACACACACACACACACACTCTGTCTGCTGAGATATTTTGAATTGCAAGCAGTATAATTAAGACCTAGAGATTGAAAATGTTGATAACTTTATTTATTTATTTTGGGAGTGGAGTCTCACTCTGTCACCCATGCTGGAGTGCAGTGGGAAGCTCTCAGCTTACTGCAACCTCCGTCCCCCTGGTTCAAGCGATTACCCTGCTTCAGGCTCTCCAGTAACTGGGAATACAGGCATGCACTGCCGCACCCAGCTAATTGTGTGTGTGTGTGTGTGTGTGTGTGTGTTTTATAAGTAGACACAGGGGTTCACCATGTGGCCTGGGCTGGTCTTGAACTCCTGATCTCAGGTGATAGACCTGCCTCGGCCTCCCAAAGTGCTGAGATTACAGGTGTGAGCCACCATGCCTTGCCAGTTTTTAAATAACTTTTAAATTATAAAAGCAATGCAGGCTGCTTGTATAAAATTTCAGAAGTGTATATATTTTAATCTGTTTAAATTAGTCATATTCTATACCAAAAGACAATTTTCAACATTTAAGCCTTTTGTTTTTGGTATATACGTAGGTTATTTGTACATGTATATAAAATTTATTGCTTTGGGCTGAAGGATACTTGTGATCACGTTATATAATACATTTAGCTTTGAATCCTGTGTTTGTATCTTAACAGATCGGCTGGGCACAGTGGCTCATGCCTGTAATGCCAGCACTTTGGGAGGTCGAGGCAGGCCAGTCACTTGAGGTGTCAGGAGTTAGAGACCAGCCTGGCCAACGTGTCAAAACCCTTTCTCTACTAAGAATACCAAAAATAGCTGGGTGTGGTGACACGCGCCTGTAATCCCAGCTATCTCCTGACCTCGTGATCTGCCGGCTCTGACCTCCCAAAGTGCTGGGATTACAGGCGCGAGCCGCCGTGCCCGGCCTACATTAGGTATTAGAAGCAATCTAGAGATGATTTAGAGTAAAGGATATAGGAGGACAGGTGTAGGTTATATGCAAATACTATACCGTTTTATATGAGGGACTTGAGGCTTCACAGATACTTAGGGAGAAGTGGAACTCCCGAAGGAGAATTGAATAGGTGGATCCTTCGGGTTTAAATCACCTATCTGGCATATTGGGCAATACCTATTTGTTGGGATCTGTTTTCTACCCAACCTTGCGGGGGAAGTGTGGGAGTGGAGAGAGATGAAACCTCATTAGGGGTTCTTTTCTGCCCTCTGGGGAGAATCACCCCTGAAACGTACTTAACACATCTTTGGCAAGCACTTCATCAAGGGCTCTCTGATTTGGGCCTCAAAGCAACCCTCCAAGATAGAGGCTATCATCCCAATTTATAGATGAATAAGGAGGCTTCTCCAGCGACGGGGGACTTGTCGGGGTGCAACCAGTCCAGTGCAGCACCTGGGCGTGAGCTCATCTCTCTCTAACTGCACAGCCCTCTTTGTCCTAGGAGATTCATGGGTCCTGGTGGTTCTCATTCTCTGTGACTAGCAGAATGTGTGTGTAGGGTTTGTTTTTTATGCTTCAGATGGACATTCCTAGAGGGAACTTTTTTCAAGTCAACATTCTCTGTTCAGAAGGATTTTGCTTTTTCAATTTTACTTTCTAGTCCGCACCCTCCAGCCCCCTGGTCTTTGATCTGTTCTAAAAGAAGGTCATTTAGAAAATCATGTCAGAATGGTTGCAGAAGGAGGCCCAGCATTGACAGTTGAGATCGGCTGTATCAGGTGTTTATTGCCGGCAGCTCGCTGAACAGAGACTCCTGAAGCTTGAGACGGTGGCCTCTGGATAGAATTTGATTCCATTTATTCATTTAATAGACAATTACCAGGCACCTGCAGCTGACAGGCAGTATGCAAATTCTTAAGGAATGCAAGTGGATCTGATGGGGTGAGTACCTGTCTTCTGGAAATGCCAAGATTGGTGGGGGAAGAAGTCAGTTGAGCCAGACCACTGTCAGGTGGTACACGGGTTACCAAAGAGGGAAGGACGCATTTGGGAATATAGAAGGGGGAGAACCAAGCCAGGTGTTTTATAGACATCTCTTCCTAGGGACTCTGAAGCTTTTTATAGCTGGGTCCAATGGGTGAGTTCTGCTGTGTTAGGGAGGCACCATGCGGGTTTATCTTTCCACCTACAGTGAGCGTGACACCTATGTTAGGAGGTGGGTACAGACGAGGTCTGAGGGTCTTTTGGTTTTTTTTTTTTTCTTAACTCCTTTATAGGTTTCATGATTCCCTGGGCAGATACTTAGGTGAAAGATCATGGGTCGTCCACTCTGTCTCCACTGACAGAGGGATACACACGGCCGGTCAGCTGCCATGGTCTGAGGATACTCCCTCCCCAGACTGTCTGTTCTTACCCCTTCTCTGCATGTTTTAATGGTTTCTGTGGTTCTCTGGACCTCTTCTTCCATATTGAAGGTGGAAGCTGTGAAGACAGTCCCTACTGAGTATGTTGAGGTTTTCAGCTGTGCTTAGGGTACCGTCCCATGGAGGTGGTGGCCTCTCCCATCTCTTGCCTTGGCATGTACTCTTCAGTCAACACCAGTGCCTTTCTCAGCCTCCTCTGCCCAGAACGTAGGAACGGTTCTGCCATCCTCACCACACAGGGCAGCCAGCACCTTCATCTGCCCTTCCAGAGTGGTCCATGCAGATCTCAGCTTGGGGCTCTCATAGATCTTTTCTGTTTCTCTCTCTCATTAAACGACACTTTTTTGAATCCATCATCTGTTCTACTCTTGCTTGCCTGCTCTCCCCCGCAATCCCCCGTGCCTCCCTCTTCCTCCTTCCTTCCTTTCTTTCTTTCCTTTGTTTCCTCTCCATCACCCAGGCTAGAGTGCAGTGGCACGATCTCAACCTTCGCCTCCCAGGTTCAAGCCATTCTCCTGGCTCAGCCTCCTGAGTACATAAGATTGCGGGCGTGCCACCATGCCCAGCTAATTTTTGTATTTTTAGTAGAGATAGCGTTTAACCATATTGGCCAAGCTGGTCTTGAACTCTTGACTTCATGTGATCCACCCATCTTGGCCTCCCAAAGTGCTGAGATTACAGGTGTGAGCCCAGCCTGTTCTAGTCTTCTTTTGAAACACAGCAGCACATGGTCCTTGCTTGTTACATAATAGGTGCCAACTAAATGGTCCTCATACTGTTTGTGTGTGTGTGTGTGTGTGTGTGTGTGTGTGTGAGAGAGAGAGAGAGAGAGAGAGAGAGAGAGAGAGAGAGAGATGTCTTACAGTTTTTATTATTTACTTATTGTCTCAGTTTTGAAGACTGCAAGACTGCAGCATCATCTGTTGGGATGAAAGGTTAGCAGGAAACCTAGATCAGCTGAACCCTTTTCGGGATCTGTGAGATATTTCTCTTTGGTAACTTACATCTGTCTCCAGTGCTAAGAACTCAGGCCTTCCTCCTTCTCTTCCTTTCAGAAAGTATTATGAGGGAGGCCGAGGACTTCATGCTCCGGACAGAGAAACGGCGCTGGGATTAAGGATTGCCACTTCCGAGAGGATGCTGGGAATCTGCAGGGGGAGACGGAAATTCCTGGCTGCCTCGTTGAGTCTTCTCTGCATCCCCGCCGTCACCTGGATTTACCTGTTTTCTGGGAGCTTCGAAGGTAAGACTGGAAGCCAAAGTGAGAGGGAGGGAGAGAAGAAAGGAAACAGGAGCCGTCACAGAACCCTAGAAAAGAAACTCAATGCCATCTAATAGGAAGGTGGATTTCTAGTCTTGGAAAGTGACATGTCTAGGGTCACACAGGCGGTTGGAGGCAGTCATCAGTATGAGGAGAAAAAGGGAAAAACAACCAAAATAAGGCGTACCTTGATGCAGTGGGAGGGTAGTGGGTGCACAGATGTCAAATCAAGTCCGTCACTGTGTGGAAAAAGGCCGGGCCCTGGGGAAATTACTGAGCTAATTCATGGGACCACATAGTTCATGAGTTCGTCTGTCTATCCATTCATTTATTGACCCATTCAGCTTTGTGGTGGTCGTGGTATTGGATGCCTGCACTAAACTTGGTGCTGAGAATATGGAGATAACAGATCTGGAAAAGACAGATAGGTAACAAAGGATCGCGGCACGTTGTCACGAGCGTTTGTGATGGAGGAAGGCAGGGTGCGATGGGAGAGGTTTGTTCGAGCTGTCAGTGCTGGGCTGGAGGTGAAAGATGATCAGTTACATGACAGGCCAAGCACAGGGAGGCAGCAAAGAGTTTGCTCTCCTCAAACAAATAAAAACAAATGATGATCTCTGCTACTTTCCAGAAATAAGTGAGAACAGCAAGACTTGACATTTTTCTAGCCAGCAATTTCAAATACGGTGCAATGTTTTGCCTATCAAAGATGGTTTTCTAGGCTTCAGAGAGGGAGGGAACGGCAGTGGTGAAGAGCTGACTTTATTTACCCCCACACTTGGATTTAAGAAGAAAGATCTCAAGTGAAAGTCTGTCTCAAGGAAGTCACAACTGTGTTTTTAAACGTTTCCTTTATGCATAATTTTATAGGCAGCTCAAGGCTACCTTTTAATTAGGAACTTCACTTCGCTTTCTGAGATTTGCCCTGAGTTAGCTAGGCTGAATATAAACAAGGTGGAACTGTGTGCCTGCATAGCAGGGGGGGGCTCGTGATGCTCAGCCCAGTGCCAAGGCCAGGGGACACACCCCTGTCCCTGTTCCCACCCCTCAGCTGCATCCCTGGAGCAGTCAGAATTTTCGTCTAAGCAGGTAGGTAGAGTTAATTATGCCATGGCAGTGGATGGTAAGTTTTTGGAAAAGGGATTAGAGAGGGGAAGGAGGGTTCATGTTGGTCTTGATGTAAGGAAGCTTTCTCCCGGAGATGATGGAAAAGGCCTTATAAAAGAAGGCAGAGGTACCCCATGCTAGTATAGGTTTAATAAGTAAAACATTGACTTTTGACTGAGTAACTTAACTGGTAATAATAATAATGGCATAAAAATGACAGTGATGATGACAGTACCAACAGCTAGTATTTGAGTATTTTTACATGCTAGGTATTGTTACAGGACTTTCTGTAAATTCACTCTTTCTTCACAGTGATTCTTTGTGGCAGGTACAGTTAATAAACCTATTTTACAGCAGGGAGGATGAGGCAGATAAGCTTTGGTGCTCTGTCCATGGTCCCAAAGGCGGTCAAGATGGAGCCTGGATTGGATTCAGTAGCTTGAGTTTTTAACTAGAACACCATGCTGTAGATGGGGGCCTCAATAAGTGATTAAACTTTGGTAAGGGATTTGACAGGTTGTCACACGATCTGGGTGAGGAAAGTTGCAGAATTTTGATTTGCACTCTTTGGCAGAAAATCAACCCAAATTGGCTTTGGCAAAAAGGGAAATTTGACAGTTAATAGGATTTGCAAGTTCAAAGATAGGGTAGCCTTCAGGCAGAGTTGGATCCAGGGGCTTTGTAGCTAGGTCTTTCTCTGTTCCATTGTTCTATTTTTCTCTGCCTTGGTTTCTCTCAGGGTAACTTTTTCTACATAGAGGAAGTTTCAGACTTGCATCCTGTTCTCGTCAATCCCAGTAGAAAGCGGATTTTTTCCTTTCTCTGATTCCGCCATATTGCCCCTGAATTGCCTGTGGTAATTCTTCCTGAAACCAGTCACTGCAATTACGGGAGGGTAGTGAGGAAGGCTGGCACTTTTTTGTTAGCTTTAAGACCCCTGCCTATTTCTGGTCACAGGATAATGGAGAGTTGCTTAAAACACATGGGGTGAGATTGGGTGACGGGGATGGTCACCAAAGGCAAATGGCATGGTTTCCCAAAGAGAAGAGATCAGAAGCTGAAGTAAACCGAATTCATAACTGGCTGTGTTTATGGTTTGATGTGTCTACGGTCATTTTGAAGGTAGCTTGGAAGCATCATGGCTGGTGGAGTGACAGTGATCACTAACTTTGAGCAGTTTCACTAGACTGGCAGATAGATTATGGGAACCTGGAAAGATCATGAAAATACTTTGAGGCAGCCTGGCAGACTGGGGGTAGATGCTGTATCTGTCAGCGTGATCCTTTAGAATGAACCCCACGCTTGGGACCAAATCTCAAGCTGCATTTAGTGTAGGGGCTGGGTGATGTGGGCATGTTAACACAGTATTTTAGCTGGGATGACAAAGGCAACAGATTTCTTTAACTGAGTGTCAGTTAGTGTGCTTTCGGGCTGCTGCATTTGTATTCGTGGACCCGACCCTGTAAGGGCAGCCTAGATGAGGCAGCACGCTTAGGAAAATCCAGGTGAGTGACAGTGCCCGTTCAAATCTGATTATGTAAGAAATGGAGGGAAGAATTGAGGATGTTTACCTTGGAGAAGCAGAGGCTCAGGGTGGACATGCTCAGCTTCAGCAAACAGTCAAAGGGCTGTCCCCTGAAAGAGAGATGAGATTTGCTCTGGTGGCCCCAGAACTATGGAGGTACGTGGCAAGGAGCCAGATGTCAACCTCCTCATAGTGAGGATCGTTCTGTCCAGAGCTGGGATGAGCTGCTCAGGAGGTAGTGTAATACCCAGCATGAGAGATGCACAAACATAAGTCCAGTATCATGGGAGGGAGCTGAACGAGGGGGGCAGTTACACGAGGTGACCCGTCTTACCCTGCCTGACCCAGAGATCCTGAGACTCTGGAAGAGGCTGAGTATTTATCAGAACACAAAGGCGATGCCCCCATGAAGCTCCCTGCCAGTTGCTGCAGACATCGGTGTGTTTCTCAAAGGGCCTGCAGAGACATTATTTTCTCTGTAATTAACCATCACAACATTACGATCCATTTATTGACACCCTTGAGTTTTTGGTTTTGTAGCAGGTGAAGCCATAAATAAGGAGCGGAGTTGCTGCCTGTATTCATGGAAATACTATTCATACTTTGCGTGGGTTTATTTATTTTTCAACTGTGTTTAATTTTAATGGATCTCCTGAGAGCAGAGCCAAGAACTCCCTCCGAGATGTAGATGCTCTCAGCATAGGGTTTTGGAGTTGGATTACACGCAGCAGCATGATATATTGAAAGAGCCCTGGAGGGGGTCAGAGCTATCTCAGGATCTCCAATCAGCTCAGCCAGAGGAGCTGGGTGATTTGGGGCACACTTGCTCTTCATGCTAGGCCTTAGTTTCTTCCAACGTGAGATGAAGTTGTCGAAATGAAGTGCACGTAGCAGGGCGCCGACATTCTGCCTACAAGCTTATGATTCTGACGTCTGATGTAAGTGAATTGAAAATGACCAGAATCTTCCCCAGTTATGGGGAACTGTGACACTAAGAGGGAGTCAGCTTATTGTGATTTACTCCTGCTTGGGGAACCAGGATCAGCGCATATATGTTATGGGGAGGCAGGCATTGTCTCCCTGTGAGAAAGAACGCCCGGTCTCCAGCAATTCAGTTGTCAGGGATGGAGTTCACCGTCCGGGAAAGATGAGATTCCCATTCCTTGAGACATCACTTGAAGGCCTGGCGACCATTGGCGAAGGATGCTGATCAGGTGGTGTTTTTGTTAGTGTGTTCTCCCCTGCATGCTTAAACCCAGCTCCTTGCTTCATTTCTTCCCCAATCCTCCTCTCTTCCTCTGACACCTCAGTCAACATTCCCAGCTCCACGCCGTTCAGGCTCCTGACGTGGGAGTAATCCTTGTCTCCCTTCTCCTCATTTACCCCATGGCTCGGTTGCCTCTTCCTGTTGAGCCTAAGCTCAGCTTTGTAGCTGCGTCAGTTGTTTCCCGTCTCTCACCGGTGCTGTCACCCTGTCTCTGCCATTTCTCCTTTGTGATCTGGACCAAACACAACACCCCACTTTCTTGCAGGTCCCCTTCGTTCTTCAGAGTCCTCAGAGCTAAATCAGCACCACCCTGCTCCCTGGCAGCCCCTCTGGCCCATCTCCTGATTCCCAGCATCCTTCTTCTCATCATCTGGCCTCCTCTGCCCAGCCATGCCAGGTTCCTTTAAGTCCTGGAGTACATCACACTCCGTGTGCTCTGCTCCTCCCACCTGCTCTTCCTTCTCCCTGACACTCTCTGTTGCTCTTGCTGCCTTCCCCTTCTTGGCCTGGCTGCCTAGATCCTTGGGTCTCAGCTGAAACACAATTAATTGCTCCTGACCCCAGCTAGCAGGCTTCCTGGGCTCCCTATTGACCTCACTCCTTGTATAATACTCAGGGCTCTTTATTTTTCTTGTTTTAATAGTTTTTTATTTTCACAACAGATTTGCAGGCGTTAGGAGGAGAGGGAGCCGGTCTCTTCAGCTCACCCTTCCATCTCTAGCACCCACTGCAGTGCCAGGAGAAGAATTGGTCCCCAAATGTTTGTTGAATGAATGAGTGAACAAACACATGTGCCCTCCTCTGGCTTTCAGTGCTGGCAGGTCTCGTCATTGCCTCTTGGATCCACTGTGGACTCCTTACCATGACTCTGGGGTCTTCCACAATTGTTTTTCCCCAACTTGTACTGTCTTCGGGGGATTATACCCTGTTGAACTCCCTGA